GATTACTACATCATAGCAGGAGTCGTGTATCAGGCTCCAGACCTGGGAACAGTTATCAGCTCTAGAGTGGTAAAAATATTCATTGTAATTCTGTAAAAGATAGGTTTGTGTAACATTGATTTAAAAAAAAAATCAGTGTTATTTATATTAATCATATCTGTTTTTAGCTTTCCGCTGTACATGGAATCCAGTCTGCTTTCGATGAGGCCATGTCATATTGTCGCTATCACCCATCCAAGGGATACTGGTGGCACTTCAAGGACCATGAGGAGAGAGGTAAGCGGTTTGGAAGTTTACAATTTAGATGTTAAAGTTCTGATTTTCAGTTATGTGATGTGATCACAAACACTAGCAACAAAGAAGGAGCCAGAACCTGTTTTCCTTGTTTATTTAAAATAATGACTTTGACAGAAAGTGATTAACATGAATCTCTTATACAGAAAAAGCCAAACCAAAGACTAAGAAGAAAGAGGAGCCTAGCTCTCTGTTTCAGAGGCATCGCGTTGACACACTCCTTTTGGACCTGAGGTCAAAATTTCCACCAACTTTCTATCAGGTACTGTCAGCTATTGTCCAGCTTGTTCATTTGAATTTTGAGTCTAAGAGGAGTCAATCGTATTGATTTTGTTTTGTTTTGCTTTTCTCTGAACTTTTAGCCTAAGCCTGGTGAGAAGCCCATTCCAGGTATGATATTTAAAACCGTTTTTTGTTTATAGATCATTATGATATATAATAAGAGTCTATCAGAGTCTGTCTGGAAGTGCTTAACACTCTGCAGATTACTAAGATATTAATTTATTTTCATATATGAAACATTGCTTTTACTTTCAGAATTGAATTCATGTTGTTTGATTAAACTAAAAAAAAAACAATTAGTTTTTCTGCTGAATATTTCAATTTTAAAATCAGTTAAGTTTAGTTTTTAATGTCTGTCCTTCAAGGCCAAATTCTTGAGTTTACTTTCAACTACAGGCTTTTGTTTTGCAGTTGAGGTGAAAAAGGAACCTGAACCTCCCGCAGAAACAGTGAAGCAAGAGGAGAGGGAGCAGGCAACCAAGTCCTCTGCCCCGGCTCCACCTAACAAACCACCTCCTGAGAAAAGAGCAAGACTGCAGTGACAGCCATATTTGTCAGACACTGGGAAGGTTGCGCACAGCTCTGCAAAGTCCTACATCACTCACTGGGAAAATGACTTGAGACATTTGTGTTACTTCCCCAACTCTCTGCTTATTTGATACATTTTTAGAATACTGAAAATAAAAGGAGTCAGTTGTTTATGTCAGTGTTGGGACTTCTTTTACGCTGCAGCATTAGTCCTGTGCCCTTGATAGGCTTCAAGCAGCTGTAGCACAAACAAGCAATTTGAAGTGGGGGAGGATTTTTTTTTTGATGATGATAAGCTGACATCAGCATCGGTGTCAGCTTACTGTCAACATCATCTTAATGTTTCTGTTGTAGTGACTTCAGAGGATCATTTAATTCGCTGTCTGCTTTACAAACAAGATGTGTCATCTCATCTGCCAAGCAAATGGCCTCTAGACCCGAACATGGCTTGTTCATTTCAGACACTTTCATCTCCTTCGGAAGAAATGCCCTGCTTTTGTATGTTTTTTAATATACATTAAATGGTATTGATTATTGTGTTCTGATCCGTTTAATTCTTAACATTTAACAGGCTTCACATTTATTTGATCCGTTTTTCTTCTGTTTTATTTCAACCTGTAATTAAGATTCGCTGCACTGTAGCGTTTTTCCTGTCCTGCGTCAACCCTGATTTCTTTATATCATGCTACTTTGGATGATGGCTGCCTTTTGTTCTGTTCCCTGTC